AAGACAAATTCATTTATTTTAACTTCTCTTGATCTTCAGTCAATCTTCTCTTTATAAAAAAGAAAATTTGTGTTATGCAAATTTAGCAGCAAGAGACTATTTAGAATGTATCAAAAGCGTGAGGGTTAAGTGTGGACTCACAGGATAACCAATGACCGAAGTCCTCAAACTCTTCCCTTACTTCTAAACTTAATATCGGAGACTGAGGTAAGTCTCAGTTTCCTCATCTCTGAAATAGAAATGGTGATAACTTATGTCTGACCTATCTCTCGAGAATGAGGTCATGTCTACAAAATGAGCTCCCAGGAGAAAAAGTGTAAGATAAGTAGTGAGATTTAGAGTTGTTGATCTTGTAAGATAGAAAATTATAATAGATTTTAAATTTTTGACTATGAGCATCTCAGATTTTAAAAATATATATTAAGTCAGACATCCAAGAGTTCACCATTGTGAGTTTTTCACTCAATGTTGAGCAAGCCTGGACACATCAATCTCTCTAATGTATGAAAAGCACAACTCCTGACTTCCATTCCCAACAAATTAACAAAAGGGACAAAACTAAATGTTTTTCTTTTTAAATCTCCCTGATGCCATTTTGGAGGCAAAAGCTGAACTATCCTAACTATGTAACCATACATCAACAGCAAAACTGTCTTCCCCACTTTCAAGGGTTGGTTTTCCTATCTAGTCTTTTGAAGAAAACAAAGTTGTAAATTTTCTTACTTGGGAAAAATACATGAACATTTTTTTAAATGATTGGCCAAACTGTATTTTAGTAAAGCGTTAAATTATGTCAATAAACATGGGAATGAGGAGATATTTAAAATAAGATTTAAAAACAAGTAAAAGTAGTATGACTAGGAGAGACAAAAAAAACAGTGAAATAAATAAAGACCTATATATATATGGCTTTTTTCATATTCCTCCATCTCATCACTCTCTTCTACCCTTTCTTTTCCTTCTTTTCTTCACTAAAGTAAGGACATGTTAGGAAGTAGCTTCTAGATCTGGGCAAGAAGGACAAGCTAAAACTATCCCATTTCACCAAATAGATATTTATGATAGAATTAGTTCTACATAAATGGATAACAAATGAATATGTAAATGGATTTCTACATAAATGTAAATGGTTTCTACATAAATGGATAACAAATGAATATGTAAATGGATTTCTACATAAATGGATAACTATATGATGCAGAATAGTAGTACATATGTTAATATAAAGGAATGAGAATTTTTAAACACATAAGAATTTATCTATCTTAATGAGCATCATCCTTCAAAGTGCAGAAGATTATTCTAATTGACAGAGTACCTCAAATCGGGTCTGAGGTGTTTTATTCTAATAAGCAATGCGAGTCATTAAGGGAGGAATATAAAGCTGTGTTTAAATTAATTAATAAATAATAATTCTATACTATAAAAGCAAAATTAACCAAAAATTCAATTACATTAGATAATGGAGAAAAGAAAAGGAGAAGCCTCCCCTTCCCCTCAAAAAAAGCCAAAACTTTTAAGCCTGGAGAATTATGAAAATGTTAGTATCACTGAAAGGAATGGAGATTACACAGCAAGTTAGTTTAAGAAAATGAACCCTATTTTAGACATGTTACACATGATATTCCAGAGGAACCCTCAAATGGAATAGTCCAATTGACAATCAAAGCTGGAAACACATTAGAGATAGAGACAAAAAAAAATGTCTCATCAACATAGAAATAATAGTTAAAGCCTTAAAAGCAGAAGATATCTGAAGTAAACGTAGAATGATGACGCAGAATAATAAAGGGAAGAAAGGCATATTGGTGACTGAACTTTAGGGAATATCCCCTGTGTTACCAAAGCACTATGGTACTTATCACACTGTATTTTATTTTCAGAGGTACCTCTCACTATAACTTTCTTGTGGCAAGGTAGAGGTTCAATAAAGGTTTACTGGACAAAAGTTCAAAGTTAGGTACCACAGACAAAAGAAAAAAAGAACATAAACCGTTAGAGAGGTAGAAAAACAGGGAGATTATCTTGGTCATCATTTATTAATCCAGCATAAATAAAACACCCAGAAATATGAGCCCGTTTGTATAGGAACTGATCTGAAGTGGTCCAGATCCAGAGAAAAAGTACCTTGATACAACTCTGATAGAATAGATTGAAGAGTAAAGAAAACTGAAGCTGGATGGCTCTACAACAGTACAGTTCCCCTAAAGAGAGGGCAGACCTCTTTTTAGGCACTGAGAGAAATCAACTGAGCAATGAAGAGGATGACATAGCTAACAAACTGAATTGAGAGGCGTATGAATTTTGTACAGATACATAATTCTTTAGCACTGGGAAATCTGATGGTTAATGAATCAGCCACCAGAGACTTCCTGATGAAGTTAATTACATAGTGTAAACATTTGTGAATGGACCAATTCAAAGCAGTTTGCTAATAATGTTATAGGAATGCTAAATAAGTAACAAGAGTAATAAAGGCATAATTAATGGTACATAAGTCAGAGAGCTAAGGAATTCAAATCTTAGTCTTGGACAGCTTCCTTTGTGAGCTTCACTGAGTCATTTTTGTTACTAATTAGTAAGAATAAATAGCATTATTAAGTGGAAGATAATATCATGAGCCCTAACAGCTAGAGAGAAGACAGGCTAAAGTTGGTTACTAAATGTGATTGACTATGAGCAAATGACTCAATTTTTATTGTGTATTTGATGTACACTACTTCCTCTTTGTACAAAAAGTTAGCCACCTCCACTTCATCACAAGAATATGAAAATAGACTAAATAAATATGCACAAAATTGCTTTGAGCTTTTAAAATTAAAACTAAGTCAACATGACACAAACTGTCTAAAGTTTGTATTAGCATAATAAATAGGTGGTTATTCCATAAACTATACTCAATACCTTCTCCCTAGTATTAACAATGATAATAAAACCATTTCTTTGTACTTACATGGCTTTTCACTTTTTTCAAAGCACTTTCACAAATATTAGACAAAGAAGCAGCACTATGTATGATCTAACCACTCATTGTGCAGTTTAGGTTTAAGTTGCAGGAAATATTCCTATCTCCTCCCTAGAGTTAATAACATATTCCCTTTTATTTTTATGAATTTTCATTTCTTTCAAAGCACCTTCACACATTTAACTGGAGCAGTGGCATTAAGAATGCCTTTCCATTCTTTGCATCATCTCAATGGCATAATCCAAAAAGGAAGAGAGCTAAAGATTGATAAATAGACTAGATGATTTTGAGGCAGTCAATTCATGATTCTTAAAGTTGAATTCAGATTTTCTAAAAGTCTTAGAATTGCAGCAAACTCTCCAGGACAGTAAGCTGATTCTCTCTTTCTTACAGGCATAGGCTTTGGGAGGCAGTATAATTAGATGATTAAGATATCTTAAATATGGCACTAAGGGGAGAAAGCAAATCTATCATGTTCACCACTGTAACCCCTCTGCGTCAAGCGCAAAGCTCAGCACACAGTAAATGCTCAATAAATCATCATTTTGATTATTACTACAGGGAGAACATTCTACCCAAGCTTCCACAGTACATCTGTTATGGAGCTAAGAACAAAAATCTCTATTTTTTGTTTTATTACTTTCCCTCCACAATTACTGCTTTTAAATGTGTGCACACCAAGCAGAATCTAAACAAATTAGGACCACAGAGCAAAAAGCTGAGGTTTATTAGGAATCCAGTGTACAGACAGCTGGAAGGTAGATTCAGAGGGCCAAGACAATTTCAAAGGCTAAAGAGAATACACCTGATGACTCTTAAATTAACAAGCAAGCACTTTTAAATCCCCATGCTTAAACTAAAAGTTACTTCAAATAAGTTTCAAAAGGTAGAACTGTTTCCTATATGTTTATGTCTTTAGTCTTTCATATTGTGAGTTGCAAAAAAATAGTTTCTTCTTTTCTTTGATAAGACCAAGACAAAGGAAGGTACTTTGGTTTATGCAGTAATTGAGTTGCTGGAAATTTGGGTATAAATTACAATTTTAAATTGACTGTATTTTAAAAAGCATTAAGAAACCCTGCTATTTAAAAAAGTCCAATGGTAATACATTTCACAAACATTTACTTTATAACATTATACCCTTCTAATGTAGCTTTTTGATTGTTTCTATATTTAATATATAGCATATTTTCTTAAAGCAGTGACAAATATAAGTCAAAAAAACCCCACCACAGTTAATTAACTGTACTCCAATATAAAATAAAAAGTTAAAAAAAACCCACCACAATCTATTTATATTCCAGGTTTAGTTGGGGAAAGTTTCTTTTAAAAAAATTGTTTTGTAAAATTTGTAAATTAACCACTCATTAGGAAAAGACAGACCCATTAGATAATATTTACAAGCCACACAACCATAAAAGATAAAAATGAAAGCACAATGGTTCGCAAATCATTTTGGTCTCCTTAAAATAATGTATGTATGTCCTTTGGTTTTAGATTATTCTCAAATCAAAGGAAAGAAGAACTTCTAAAACTAAGGTCACTGAAAACTCCTAAACCGTAAACCTTGGCATGTGGAAAACAGTATTAATACCAGCCCAAATCTTTTATAGTAAAAGCATTCTCCATATATTATTTCTTTGAGGTAGATGTGAACAAATACTTTACTAAAAATTGTATTTTACATCTGGGAAAATTCTGCCTGAGGTTGTATACAGAGTATTCAGAGAAGCTACAGTGACCTAGGTATCTTGTCTTAGGTCTATACAATTTTCCTGTATCTGTACAATTTTATAGATCATCTTTCAGCAG